TATTTAAATTTGAAACTTATATTTTGTTGGAAATTTTGAAAAAATGTATAAAGTTCCCATAAAGTTGTTTTATATGTTTAGTAAGTATTATTTTTAATTGATTAAAAATTAAAATAATATTAAAATAAGAAACATATTTTTACGCTTTTTTACGCATATGCCTCGCCTAGCCCATAACTTTGCCTCCATACATTGGCACGCATTACGCCGTTTAGAACATTGGGTTTAATAGTCCTGTTTGTGTGAGCCAACTCAATTGTCACACCAATAAAGTCATCAAGACAGGATAAAGTCACTAAACTAAATGAGTTTTGCGCTAGTCTTAAGCAAGGCTAGGCCACTTCCTAAAAGTCTTCATTGAAATTTTCAAATCTTTGTACCTGTACACATTATCACAAGTATATGTAGATAACATACTTAGCTCCTAATGCTGCTTAGCAAATCCACATGTCGCCATTATAGCTGCTTAGACCAATCATTTGGCGCCAAACTCTCCATTCGTGACCCTTCACCAAACCTCGTTACTCCATATAAATCATTGAAGTTTGAGACAATAAAATGAGTCGATGACTTTTTCCATATCACCAGAATCAAATTAAAATTACCTTTTCCATTTTTAATAGCTTACACCCCCCCACCCCAAAAAAAAAAAAAAACCAAATTTACACCAGCCAGGATTTCGCCCTCTAGGCTAGTGATAGACAATCATTAGGCTTCTCCTAATAACAACCATTTCACATATTTGCACTTGTTTTGGAACAGCAATCTAGCTTAAAAAGCAAACAAGTAAAAAAGAGGACAAACCTATACATGAGCCTTTCAATAAAATCTTCTTCCTTCATCCTTAGAAGTGACTTCTGAGTCTCTTCCGCAAGTGCCGACCAAAAATCAACCAATGTTTCCACAGACAATCTGGCAGTGTGAAGAGCACATGTTTCCCTTGTTCCGTGCCCTCTTCCATATCCTGCCATTCCTTGGCTTATCCATCCTCGACCACCCCCTCCACATGCATCAGGATAAAGCAACTCACGTTCCCTTTCCCGTGCACGTGCACTGTCAAAGACCTGATTCAAAAAAAAAAGATTAGCTAAGTATCCCTGATAAAAGAAAAACAAAATCCAAAGGGTATATATTCTCGATAACGTTGAAATATGATTTACATTTTGGAGCCCCATCAGAGACTTTGAGTAAAGATAGCAATCCAAAAGGGTAAGTGTCCCATCCCGAGCTGCGGTTAATCCTCCCCAACGGTGTATGGATGGATCTTGAGCATCATCTGGGCGCCCATTTTTCATACATAAATCACTGTCACTTTTGTTGGCTCTTATACTGCAATTTCCACCTGCAAAATCCTGCTGCATGGTCTTCCCATACATGACAATCTGCAAAAAACCTTCAAGCAACAACCCATTGCATTTAGAACAGTACATGTTCTTGCGAGCTTGCTCAAAGAGTGTTTGCTTGTCAATCCTTAAGAGCTCCTGCCGTGCTTGCGGCACCAGCTCACACCAAAACTGCAAGATTGTTAGAAAGAACCTTCTATGACACGTGGTTTAACTTATAGGACAACAAATTTGAATCCCATTATTACTAATGATCGTATACATTTAGCACTCAATTAATTGAAAATACATCAAAGGATCAAATGATCACTTTAATAATTTCATTTAAACTGCATTGACAAGTATAAAATGAGAAACGGAAGAATAACGTTAAATCCACATTAGTAGTAACGTAGATGCAGTCATTTTAATGAAGGTCAAACTTTGATGTAGCTAGATATATCCATTTTTCCAAAACTCATTTTCAACCACACATTCTCCAATAAAATAATATTACACGTAAACGCAAAACATTTCCTTATTTTTTAACCACACATTCTCTAAAAAATAAATATTCCAAAATACATTCCCCCCAAAAAAACTCAGGAGCCCAAAAGGGGGCATAGCAATGGTTATCTGTCGGATTAATGCAGGAACATAATAATACAAGTGATCCTTTCAAGACAAAAGAGAGTAGACAGTTTTCTAATAAATAGCGATAGACAAGAAACACATCTATATTACAAACTTTGTTTAGGTTACAGTTCCAACCAAATTAAAATGACAAACATAGTTCTTGCAAGTGAGCATTGTTTAGTAATAATTCACATTATAAGGCATAAAACAAATAAAACAACAAATTTCTTATAGATGAAGTAGGGTATAGGATCTAAAAGAAAATTAGGAAGATTTCTTCCAGGGAACACACAATCTGAAAAACACAATTGGAAAGTTATTCAAACTATAAGATCTAGAATGAACTCAGACCATCAATTTGATAACCCACCGAACCCCGATAATTCAGTACCAATTATTTACAATTCAATGGAACTGAAAAGTACATATGCGTTGTATGTGTACGTATACCTTCTGGAGCTGATTGCAGCTCACATCATCGTCGTGTTTTGACCAGAACCCGTTCCCGTGACCACCCAAAACTAACCGTCCATTCAAGACAGGAAACGACACCGGTCCGCTCCCCGCCAAAGGATTCTGATAAACATTATTATTATCACTATAATTATTCTTATTATTATATCTCTGCGCTAACCCTGGCATTTTTCCCTAATTTAATTTCTCAGACTCGTCTGAACAATTTCCCTCCAATCTCCGCCATTCGATTCACCCAAAAAGATTAAGCAATTAAGAATAAATTATTCATCGATTATCCGTAATTCAAAGATGAAAGTCCAAATGAATACAGATGAATAAAATTGATACAAAATGACAGGTATAGAACGAATCTTTATATCTATATATACGAGATCTCAAATCCGCGTGTGATTTTGATTGGGAGAAATGAAGAATACCGGAGTTGGAGAAAATAAAGTTTGTGACTCAGTATAAGAGATAGGGGTTTCGGTGATGAGAACGGTATGTATTTGTAGAAAGAAAGAAAGAAATAGATATGTTGAGAGGGAGAAAGAGGAGTTTCTGGTTAAAAGAATACATTAGTAATTTTTGCCTTCTCAGGTCTATTTGTTTTGGAATATTATTAAATATTTAGATGTGGACATTTTTATCCTTGTAATCAATCGATTTGATTTAGTTACAGTTTAATTTAGTTTGATTGTGAATTTTAGAATAGAGCATCCAATGAGATTTTAATTTAATATTACATTGCTATTTTGTAATATTATTTTTTTTTATAAATTAAATTGATCAAAATAAGTTAATTTTAATTTAATTATTGCCAATGGAGAAATCAGACTCAAAGGTACCCTTAAATGTAATATAATTTAATCCAAAAAAGTAAAATTGTGGATTCCATAAAATTGTAAATAATAATACAATACATATTTTATGCAATCACTAATCGATTTGAAGTATTTATGACAATGACAAAAATTACATTTGTTTGTTAGTTTCCATCTCTAACGTAAGGATGTTGTCATTGATAACCTTAGGTGGCTAATATGTATGGTGTTGTCATTTTGTCGAAATTCTATTCTCACATAATCATTGTCTTAAAAAGACGTTATTACCCCCTCAAGGCAAACCAAATAGCCCTCAACGTGTGCCCCTCGCATTCTAGATACATCTGCCAGCTCTTCCATTCCATGTATGGTGAGGATGGTCCACTTTTTTTTTTTTTTTTTCCATTCCAAAAATGGGATAAAAAAATATTAATTGGTCAAACAAAATGATGTTTGGTAAATACTTTAATTTTTTTTTATCAATCAAATGTATTTATTTTACAAGATTTTTAATTTTTGAGAGGAAAATTGGTTCATTAATAATACATTTGATTTCACATTTTGAATTCAAATCTAAAATTAATTCATTTAAACAAAAGGGGATCTTTAGCCATTTTTATTCCTTTTCCACTATACAAAATCAGAGAACTCTCTTAAGGTAAAAAATCTCTTCACATCATAAAGGATTTTCGACGAGTTAAGATCAAAATTCCAATGACATAATTGTGCTTCCAAAAAATCTCTTCACATCATAATGGTTTGTCTTTCTTGTATGGTGAATGATTCATCTATGCTAAAGGCTTCTTCCATGGTGGATGATTCATTCATGGAAGGTTTTGATCTGTAGGTTGTTCGCTAAAATTATATATCGCAAGTACACGGGTCGCGATCAAGTAATAACGTGGACATTTTGAGTCCGGGTTGTCGATCTCTCGAGAATTGCTTACTTCCAATTGCACAACTTTAGTCGATTTAATTTTAACAATAATAACAAATACACAATAAAATTTGATGTTGGAAAATAAAGAAAATTACTTAAAATCTAAAAAATAAGAAAATATAAACACTTGGAAATTTTGGAGAAAAAATGAGATTGAGATTTATGGTTTCACTTAACCGTCACCTAATAAATTTCTTCACAAATCGGTTAACAAATTACTCATTTATGATGTTGACCTGATTTTTCAATTTTAGTTAGTTACCTCTCTCGAGCGAAATTAACTATAATTAATTGGTTTAACCTACTATATCTCTATATCGATTAAAACCAAATAATCGCATTAGATTTTAGTGAAAATAGCTCAATGGATCACCTAAGGTTACGAGTATATCTCTATCCCCTATACAAACCTACAGTATTTACTATTTAGTCTAAAATGTACAATCTTCTTTCTAACAATATACAAATCACTAAACTCAATCATTTAATGGCCAAATAAAATGAAAAAATTCAACACAATAATCAATACACATGAAAATAAGCATTTTACTATTAAAGAGTAAATATTAAAATTAATTAAAGTTAGGTTAAGTTACTACCATAAATTCCAAACACAAATAACCAGTGTTCTAAAAGGCTTAATGCATTACGATGCATCGAGATCGAGAATCAAGAATTATAAGTTTATGCGTGTCAATGCGAAGAATAAGCGTCATAATGCGTTTCGTATTTTTAATATTATTTTAATTATTTTTAAGGAATTAAATATATTTTTATATTAAAAAATAGATTTTTTACAAAAAAAAAAAAAAGTTCTAAAATGCGTCGCCTGGGCGGGACAATGCGCCAAAATGCGCTGCCTAGGTGGCGAATTTTAGAATACAAACGCATTTTTACCCTCATTTCACCAATTCGACACGTTTTGCTCGCACGCCACGCCTACGCGGCGCATTTTGGCGCCTTTTCGAACACTGCAAATAACGTAGCTCATGTTATGCAAATGATAAAAATAAGAGTATTTATAATAATACATTAAATATGGCAAAATAATTGAGAAAATACAAAGTTGTAGATAAAACCATCTTTGAAGCTTTGCCTTGACTTCCCCAAATATTTCTTTAAATCCTTGAATGTATTCTCCTTGTGCTCTTGATTTTTATCTCTAAAATATCAATAAATTGAAAAGGAAAAGAAAATGAAAAGAGAGGAGAGAGAAAAAGAGGAGAAAATAAAAGGAATTGAACCAGAAGAAGAAGCTGTGTGTCCAGGAAGGGTTTTTAAATTTTCAAACAATTTTCAAAAATTGCAGTCCAAGCCCCTAATATAATTGCATGGCAGGTCCCTCAACTTTTATATTATACAAGTTGGTCTTCAAATTTTGATGTTCATATCGATTGTACCTTTCATAAATTGCAGTAAAGATCCTTCAACTTTTTGCTCTGTTCATTTTGGTCCCCATGTTCTCAATTTTGCACACTTTTAGTGTTTTTTCCTCCTTTTGTCTTTTTCTTTTTCATTTGGGTGATTTTTTTACCTACAAAAGCAATAATTACATGATTGTGAGTAGAAATTCGCTCA